TTCGACATATGCAACTCGCTTCATAGTGAATTGGCCATTCTTTATTTTTCCATAGCCTCTGACATGACATTTGTGGTTGTTGCCAAACTTCACAACTCCAACATTATCCAGGCTTCGATAATCTTGCAAATTCTCCTTTCGTCCAGTCATGTGACGTGAGCAACCACTATTGACATACCATTTCTCATTATATTGATCATCACATAATACCTGCGATCATTGAAAGAATTTAGGTATCCAAGGCTGTTTGGGTCCTTAGAAATTAGTTGTAAGAACATAATTGAAAGAATAAAGGACTCAAAACATAAGTTTTCGACAGTTTGGGATTGTTACTCACATCATCTTTCGTCCTCTTAGATTGTGATTCGACATTCGTTGCTTTTTCAACTGCTCTCCATTTCTTGACTGAAACATTGGAATCATTTGATGATGAGCTTCCAGTTGATGAAGTATTCACATACTTTTCATAAGCATCTTTGATTTGTTGTTGTGAATAGTTCTTGGACTGATACATGCGACCTTTCCTTCAAGCCAATGATTACTATTTTTCGTTTTAGACAACCCTTTTGTGTACGAAACATTTCATGGTTGTTTCACCAAAGGATTTGGAAATTTCGGCTTTTGTGGAACAAAATCAACATTTGAATTAGGAAGAAATTTCTTAGCATAACTTCCATCAAATTTGTTTGTGACTGTTGTTTTCAAAATATCTCTTTGTTAAAAAAATTCCTTTTGATTTGAAAAACCATTTTCAACATTTTGATTTTGAAATTTCTTTGAAAAATAATGACCCTTTGTTGAAAATGATGATTATGGATCTTTTGAAACCTTGTGTTGAGTGAAATTTATTCTTTTGTCTGAATAAGATGAAAACGTAGTCTTATTTTTAATAACTTGAGTTTTTGACATTTTAGATGTTTTCATTTTCAAATCATTTTGTGCATTTCGTGACTCAATGATTTGCCAAAAAAATTTCTTTTTTTTCTTGCCTTTTTGAAATTTTATTATCTTTCGAAATTTTGTCAATTTGTTCATTGAATTCTTTTGAATTTAATTTGACAAAATTTTCATTTTCCTCAACTTTTTGTTTTAAAACCTCATTCACAACTTTTGATTTCTCAACCCATTTTCGTTGAGATTTTTGCCTTTGAAAAACATACGAGTTCTTTGTTAGATTATTTTCGACGGTACTTTGGTTGGAAAAGAATGCTTCGCCAGTTGTTTTCTTGTTGTCTTCTTCAATCAACTTCTTGAACTCAGGTTTGATGTTCTCAACCTTTCCAATAGTAACAAACACTTGATTTGGAAATATCACATCATCAGTGCAATTAAAATTCAGATAAACCACGGTGTTGCTTTCCAAATAACGTTCTCCTTTTTCAGAAAACACTTTTTCGAACATTGTAGTGTCTCCATACACTTGGTCCACAACTATTTGTGGAATTTCATTTTCTTCGTCGTTTTCATCATCACTGTCATGTGTTTGACTGTCTCGTACATCAACAAAATCAGGATCACAAACGTTCAAAGTTGAAGGTTTGTCAGTGTCAATCTCAACTTTCAACTCCTTAATAATTTCTTGTCCTTTAGATTTTGATGTGACATTAATTACAGATAAATGTGAACAATCAACATCCTCAAACTCATTGATTTCACTAATATTATCATAATCATCTTCAATATCAGCAAAATTAGTTTGTAAGTCAAATGTTGAATTCTCAGTCTTTTTCAAAATTTTAAATTGTTTAGATTTGGTCAAGATTTCATTAACAATATCAACTAATTCATTCGAATCAAGACATTCATCTATTTTTACTAAGCCATATTCAGATCTGTAATCTGGAATTTTGTCAAATTTAGGAATTGTTTTCTCACAATCATAAGAAATGTTATCAACCTTCTTACCCTCAAAAGACAGAAAATGTAATAACTTCTTATGTTGTTCTTTGCTTATGTCACTAGAATGATGCAAAGCTATAATTTTTCCATAGAATCTCTTTGCAGAATTACAATAAATATTTCTTTGTGCTAACAAGAGTTTTACATCGCTCGAAAGCTAGTCTCTATCAAACATTATGTTTGTGATTTGTAATTCTAAACATTCTATATTAGTGATTTTCGAATCAAGCTTCTTTTGTGTCTCTAAAAATTGTAAGCTCAGTTTCTTAGCCTTGTTACTAGTAGACACAACAATTGAATCGAAATAAGCACCAGTATCATTAAAAGCAACAATTTCATTGTTATATGCATTTAAAGGAATATTGAAATAATCTATAATAGAACGTACCTTCATACTCATCGGATACTGGTCAGCGAATTTGGATACGAAGCATCTTCCTGTGACGTCTTTGTTAGAATCATCTTCATATTTTGCATACAAAGAGCCATGCGTCGGATTACGCATTTCATCATCGTCTGTTCCCGAAGAACAGATCTGATACACACCTTCTTCCTCCGGTTCTCCTTTAGCAACCAACGATATGCCTTTTGATTTTGCTTTAACCTCCTCCAGCTTCTCCGAATAATACGCCTCATCCTTCGCTTTGTTCTTCTTCACCTCTTTCTTACGAAGAATACAATCATTCGCAAGATGGTTGTCCCCGTTGCAATACTGACAATCTATTCTAGAATCTCCTTATAATTTCTTCTCTCTCTTCTCCTCAACAACTTTCATTTCCTTCTTTTCTGTCTTTTTCTTCTCCTCACCACCAGCCTTGATCAGAAATTTTTCTCTTCCTTCACTTTGCCTTGTCTTCAAATTAAATGATTTCGTAAAGAGCTTTTTTACTTTGTTGTTAGCATAGAATGCAATTGATTCATAGTTAGAATTCATTAAAAGTCCTTCTTCAGCATCAGAATCACCACCTTCAGTAGTTTCTTTTTCAGTAACTTTCGAGACCAGAGCCAAACGACCACCTATAGTAAGTTTCGACTCCTCAACCATCTCATTGACCTCACTTCCGTGAGTTTTGAGTTGAATTCCATTGTAGAACGAGTGATACCATATCGATTGCATCGATATATAAACTTTTTGAAGCGAACATAGTAGACTTCGATTGTCTCATTTTCCTTCTGTTGAAATTCCATTAACTCCACCAAACATTGCTTCACTGAGTTAATTTTTGTCTTTTCACTTCCTTGATACTTTTCCTTAAGAGTTTTCCATATCTCCTTCACACTTTTACAACCACGAACATAGTTGTAAACCACTGGTGGCAATGCACCTCTCACCTCCCTCAGGCATCTTTTCTCATTCCTCTTCATTCTGTCAGTATGTTCATTAACAACAACAGTCAAATTTGATGAACCAATGTTTTGAACATTTGCAGGAGGTTGTGTTGTTCAGAGATGCAACTCCATAATTTGTCATCTAGACCGTTTACATAATTCTCCATTCTGTCAGCCCATTGATCGTAATATTTAGGAATCAGCATCGGATTTTTTGTAGAAAATCCTAAAAGATACGAAAAAGAAGTTATCGTGTTCATATTAAAATTCACCATTGTTGTACGGATTGAATTTTTAAGAAAGTTTGAAGAAATTTGATTTTGACTGAATGAATTGAAAAGAATTTCAAGAACAACCACTCAATTAAGTAGATTCAATGTAGAATTGTATCAAAACTTAAGATCCTTGATGATTTTCTAAATCTAATCGTGCGGAAACTTTTGAATCAAATTTTTCGATTAAAATACAACAGATTCAATCAGAAAATCAGATCGTAGTTTTGAATCCTGCTCTGGTACCAATTGAGGAATCGTTAATCAAGTAAATGTGAATCAAATCATAGTGAATATGATACGAATGAACACGAGATGTAAATATGATCTTGTTTCAGCTCTATTATACTTTCACAGTTTTACAGAGAGTACAAAAGACAAGTTTTGTAAAGACTTCTTATCTAACTCTAAGTAAAGTTCCTATTTATATGGAACAAGAAAGTATACAAAAAATACTAATATATGACAATTACGCTTCGTACAAACAGACGTCTTAGTAAATACATTACAAGTACACGAAGGGTATGGTCTTCGACTCATTACAAAATGTCTTCGACACTAACATGGCCAACTTCAACTACCATCACTGAAGATAGAAGTTTTGACAACCTTGTTTCATTCAATAGGAGGTTTATTCTAAAATTTTGTTCTATTACGGCACATGTGACTGATTTTTTGAGAGGGAAGACCTTTACTTGGAATGAAGCAGTAGAATCAACTTTCCAATAGGTAAAAGAGAAGCTTACTACAACATTATTTCTTGTATTCCCATATTGTTCTCATCTTTTCGAAATACACACGGATGCTTCTAAGGTTGGGATTGGAGCAATTCTAAGTCAAGGAGGGGGACCAATTCCCTATTTTAGTGTGAAGTTGTATGGCTAAAGCTATGTTATAGCACTTACGATGTTGAGCTCTATACAGTTCCCGGAGGTGTAAAGCGTTGGTGTCATAATTTGTTTCATATGGAATTTGTTTTGTTTACGGTGACAACCTAAAATTTTATATCCTATATAGTCAAACACTACATTAAAAGTCAAACTCATTCCTGCTATCAGTTAGCACAATATGGAGTCTGTTTGAGCGTTCTGAGCCTTGTATACTTAAGGGATAAGTGTCGGGGATTATCTGCTGCAAAAATAGCATAAAGAACAGACCTGGAACACCCTAACCAGGAGTTCACGGCAACCACCATGGAGTTTATGGCTGTAAACTCCATGTTGGCCGTAAACTCCCCTTATATGGTCAAGTTCTGGCCATTTGTTCTTTAACAACCCATCATTTCAGGTCATCAAAGATCGAGTCTTGTAACCTATTCGAAAAAGGGATTAGAATATCATCGAAAAATGAAGTATTCAAAAGCTCTGTTTGGAGTACGCTTTTCATTTTTACAAATATCAAAACATCGAGTAATAATTTAGATTCCAATGTAAGCAATATTGTCATGACCGATTACATAACAAAGATCACAAAAATAGTTTTCCCCGAGTGCGTGTACGATCACGCTGGCGCCTTCCCACGGTCCTCGCTAATACCTGAAACACATAACACAACAACTGTAAGCATAAATGCTTAGTGAGTTCCCCAAGATACAACCTACGCACATACGCCTTTCCAGGACCTGACCTTCCGGTCCATGTGTCTCAGGGAACTTCCGTCCCGACTGGGTAAACCTTCCGTTCCTACCCACGTCAATGTTACGGTCCATTTTACAATGCCTTCCGACCCATAACATAATGCCTTCCGGCCCATATCAAGCATATCATACATGGCACATATAACGATTAACTTATCACACATAATGCATATATATCATATCATATTCGACCTTCCGGTCACACAGTCAAACCCTTCCGGGTATAGTATAGTGAGAAGACTCACCTCGTATATCTCGATAACTCGCAAACCCTGGAAATCACTCGTGCTGGAACCCCCAAGCTATAATCCTCCTATAACATCATATATCTCTAATTAATACTTGTACCACTAAGGTTGACCATCCCTATCAAGTCAACACTGGTCAACTCTGGTCAACAGTCAATAGTCAAATTGACCGGACTCGGCGAGTGCACTAGAGCGACTCGGCGAGTGTAAGCGTTTTCACCAACTCGCAAGGATTTCCCTTTGACACGACGAGTACTCCCCTGACTCGACGAGTTCCACCTGGTCATGAATCGCAGGGCTACCGCGACTCAACTCGCCGAGTCGCAAGTACAACTCGGTGAGTTCCAGCTCGACTCAGTCCACCTGTCAATCCCTCTCTAACTCTTCGTGACTCACTGAGTCAACCATAACTCGGCAAGACCACTCACTAAGTGGTTAAGGACAATTTTCATGCTAGTCGCCGAGTCTGTTCTTCAGACTCGGCGAGTCCATGCCATGCATCGACTCAAACTTGCTTCTGAGGTCAGATCCGCTCCATAAACTCATAGATCTGGCCCTCCTAAGCTCATTTATCACGTAAAGTCATAGTCTTGGCCACCATGCAACACTTACAAGGTTCTTTTTGGAGAAATAACCACTAATATGGCAACCCTAGCCTCCAACCCAAAAGGAAGGACATAAAGCATATCATTTGGGACTTTGTGGACCTGCTAAGGTCCAGATCTAGGTACCATATCTCAATGGGACCTCTCACACTTCAATTACAAAGAAAATAAGGCAAGAAGAAACCCTAGATTTGGCCATATCAACATAAACACGGAAATAAGCTCTGAAAGATACCTCAAGAAGCTTCCCTTGCCAAAATGGAAGTAGATCCAAGCTCCCAACTCTTCCAACTTGACTTTCCCCCTTCCTTTCTTGCAAAAACACACAAATTTGGTGAACAATAGCCTATTATCTCACTCACAGGAGCTCTCAGCTTCTTTGGTGCTCTCAAGGATCAAGGTGGCCGCAATGAAGGGCCATAAGATCCTTTAAATAGAGCTTAGGACCAGAAAATTAGGGTTTCATCAAACAGTGCGGACTCACCGAGTCCATCCCTTGGACTCGCCGAGTCCAGGCGCGAACCCGCGTCCAGAACCGCGACCCTACTCGACAACTTCTAGCTACAACTCGCCGAGTCCCCTCACAAAACACCAAAAATATGCGAATAAAAGATACCTGGAAATCCGGGCTGTTACAAGAACATTTTAGGATTATTTTTTAAAATTTAAAATTAGGATAATGTTGATGGTTAATTTGAAAAAAAAAAAGATAATTTTTATAACAGCTCAAAAATATATTATTTAGCAAATCAGCTACATGACTTTACACATAATACCAAACAGCCCCTACTACATATTGTTTATTATGTAAGCATTTTACTTTGAAAAGTATATAAATTAAGACATTGTATTTTCATTTTCTTATTAAAGACACATATTATTTGGAAAATGCTATTTTTTTTTTTTTTTTTATAGAATTGCATGTCAACATAGTTTGTTACGAACAAAAAAAAAATTATTGTTATAAAATCTTGTTTGTGGAATAACAAACTCATTAACTTAAGCCTAAGATTAAGGAGATTACCTTTAAACTTAACAGAAATTGATAATAATAGACTTGATCAACATAGTTTGTTATTTAAACATAAAATAAATTGACAATAGTAGACTTAATTAGTCAACATAGTTTGTAACATAAGTTGAAACGAAAATATGTCAAAAGATGTAAAACTTAAAATTCATAAAATGAATTCAACATAATTATGAACTTGTGTCAAATAACACGACTAATATCATGTTATAATTAAATGAAAACAAATATAATCTTCAAAATGAAAACAATGTACATGTCAAAGAAATCCTTGAGAAAATAATAAAAACTCAAAGAAAAATTGTCAATGATAAATGTCAAATAATCATATTAATAATTATTGATTAAGAATAAGTAAAAATAAAACAATAAATAATTATATCATAGTCATCAAATACATGCGCCTTTTTAAATTCTAAAATATGATGCATATCATCATTAATATGCAATCTCGACCCATATAAATAGTTACCGACTTGTGGCTGGCCTATAAATAGCAATTGAAGTAATAGATTATTTCATATTATAAATAAGATATTAATGTAATGAGCATATACATATAAAAATAATTATTCTTACCACCCAAAGTCTTGAACTTTACCATACATAGGAGGATGATCATAAGAGCATTTTCATTTTGATGTTCAGATATGTAGCTGTTCAACGTCAATGCAAAACTATCCCACAAAACAACTTGCATTTTCCTACCACTATAATTTATTGTTTGGGTTATATGAATATAATATTAAACATGATAAATTAATGAAAAGTAAAGAAAAGTACCTCAGATCTTGTGGAACAATACTCATTAGCCTTGTTTCCCTTGCATTCTCCTTAATCACTATCTTGGGTTCAGTAGATACAACTTGACCAATAAAATCTACAAAAAGTAAATTTGAATAAATTATTATAATATAAAGTCGTTAAAAAAATATGTATTATAATAAATGCAAAAATGTTAAGGGAAAAAAACTCACCAAATGCAACATGAGTGTCAAAATTTATGGTTGTCATATCATGACAAAATCACAAAATTAAAAGGACGGATCCTATCAACAAAAGGAGTTGATATACGAATTGTGGTTGAAATGCATTTATGAGATTTTTCTGGCCATCCCAAAATTAAAAGGATCGATCCTAGCAACAAACATGTAATCTCCTTTGTTTTTGGCCATACCAAAGTTAGTGATTTGCCTTACAGCTCTTTCTTCCTGGAGGGCTTGAAATGCATTTATAAGATTTTTTTATTGTTGCATGCATTCTAGTGCCCTGTATGTGATAAAGAATATTATTATACGAAAAAAAAAACATAAGTTTTTTCATATTATTTTAATCTCACCTTCTGGTCTATTAAAATCATGTCCAAGCTGCTAACCATGTTTGGGTTGTTTTTGTATGTGTGTTTCCAAATCATGGCAACTTGAACACGAATATTCCATGATCTTTGGAGACATCTATGTCAGCCAGCTTATCAATGACAATTTCACTGTCACTATTATGTGTCATTTTTCCTGTGCTATGAGAAATAGAAAAGTATTAGGGATAATTATGAGGTATAGTGAAAAAATTAATTCAAAGATTCACAAGGTTTTTAAAATGTAAATATGATGTTGTTTAATTAACATAGACATTCTTGGTTGGCATACTTCACCATGAAAAAAAAATAAACTTTAATTGTATTTTGCAAAATAATAGTTGGCTGCAATTATGGATTAATGGAAGTAGGATGGTATCAAATTAAAACATACATAGTATGTTGATATATTTCACAGAAAACAACAAAGCAAAAAAAAGAAAGGAAGAAGTATTGATAACAATGAAATGCGTACCTTTTTGCCTTTGATTAACCAAGCTTACAATTGTTTACTACTATAGAAGGTTGTAGAAAGGAAGAAGTATTGATTTATTATCATGAATATCAATATAAACGAAGAGGTAAAAACATAGATAAAACATAATAAAAACCCACCTTTTGCAGGAGCGTGGAAGGAAAAATAAAAATGAGTTTTGGTGGAATATGTCATATATATGTATTGAATCCAAGTTGGTTTTGGAGAGATAAGATAAAAGTCATTTTTATCATATCCCTTAAATGTTGAATTTCAAAATATAGTTAGGATAGATAATGTTGAACATTTTAGAATTATTTTTTAAAATTTAAAATTAGGATAATGTTGATGATTAGTTAAATTTCCGTCTTCGGTGGCTAATTTTTCAATTTGAATATGGGAAGTAGTTATTATTGACATAAATAAATAGTAAATTGTTTTGTTAGGATGACATTACCAGAAATATTAAAAACGATCTAAGAGTTGAAATCAATCAAAAGAAATCCAATGAATGGTTCTAATTGTTGAAGATGACATCATCAGGTTTCTATTTTAATGTGTGTGTGTGTGTGTGTATATATATATATATATATGAATTGTTTTGTGATTTTAGTTTGTTTCAAAAGTATACAATAGTGATTAGTACGTGCGATATGCAATATGAAAATATATTTCACTAATAATGTTACTCACATCCAAGAAATCATCGTTACATCACTCTCCAAACAAAAATATTTATTGGAAGATGAAAGGGCACACCGTTGATGATGATGGGTGGACTCATGTCCAGAGGAAAATCTAACAGCACGGGAAGATCATTAAATCTTTCTACATCTCAAAAATTATAAGTGATACCATGACCGAGATGTTGACACATGTATTCAAAGGTTTCAGCAAACTGGTGGATGTATACACACCTGTGAGGAAATACAAAAGTGGTTCTTGTTTTGCCTTCATCAGGTTCACATGAGTCAATAATAAGAAGAAGATTGAGCGTTCTATCAATGTGTCAGATGTTGTCACAACATCATGAAGGTAAATGTTTCTATATATAAAAAAATTCCAAAGACTAGTGAATCAATTCATCTGAGGAGAGATTTGTGAGGCAAATTCGCATGCACTTTATTCCACCGTTAAATGAAAGTGCGAGACCTAGAAACACCAAGAGATGGAAGAACATTTGTGGAGTTTGTAGCTTGAAAACCTATTGAGTCTACCAAACAAAGATCGTTCCTAGATATCTAACTGAAGAAGGTTCATGTCACAGTTTCTTGTGATAAATGTTGCCTAGTTAGTGAAGTCTCTTGCATTGACTTCCTAAAAGCTCTATGAAATTGATACATACTGATGATGAGGTCTCCTATTACATGTTCTATATGGGAGGGATGATGATGGTCCTTCAAAATTTTCTTCCCGGAGCGGCATAATTGTTTCTCAAGGCTCATTACAACTGAAACATATGGTTCATCTGGTTGAAATAGGGTATCACTGAAGACTATGGTTTTGAAAGACTAGCATGGGTTAGAATCCATGATCTCCCATTACATATGCATTCTAATGAAAATGTTGATTCAATTGTCATTATGAAACACTGAAATATTTAAAACAAAATTTTCATTTACAATCACATAAATCTCATAACGCGTTTCAAAAAATATCATTTATTTAATTTACAATTCGCAACTCCATAACTGTTTGATTAAATTCCAGAATCCTCAATAAATATAACTCTTTCATCGGTGTGTACAATCAAGCCGGTGCCTTCCTGCGGACCTGAGAAAAACTTGAAACACATAATACATAACATGGTAAGCACGAAGTGTAAGGTTTTGAGCAATCTAACACTTCCTAAGTGTGCATGCAACCCTAATAAACCTTGGATCTATGTTTGTCTAAATACATACAAAATAATAATTTTTCCAAGGTTCATAACCTATCTAACATGCCATGGGGTACTTTTAAACATAAAAGAGTTAGAAGAGATTACGTACCTTTTCGATGGGATTGATTCTTTGGAGTTTGAGGGCCAAGCACCAATAATGTGAATGCCTCAAATGGAATCACAAATCACCACAAACACTTGGAAAACTTTGAGAGAGTATACACACTCTTGTATTTTCGGCCACACACAAGCACACACACTAGTTCACTAGTTCCATTTCATGCTCCATAAGCATGCTTATATAGTGTGCATGGTTAGGGTGAAACCCTAATAACCCATGTATTTTCCTTTCCAAGGATCCATGGATTGAAAGCTCCATGGATCATCCATGGACTTCCATATAAGTCTAGCCCATTAACAAATGAGTACTAGCCCACACTATATAAAACCAATAGCCCATAATCTAATTAGTCTTCCTTTTAATCTCTAAATTAATTCATAATTAATTTAAGACTAAAACTAATTAAATAACATAACTTCATATTAATATATTATAACTTATAATATATTAATAAACATATGTGTATAACTCTCATAAAATTATCCATAAATAGTTCGGATGAAATGCAACCCAAATGGACCATGCCGGGTCGGGTCAAGTATATACCAAATAAGTTATGGACTTAGACACCTTATCCAACAGACTCCCACTTGGATAAGTCTAATAACTGTATTTGTCTATATAACTTCAGGAACCAACCAACAATCGTAGCTCTCGAAAACTCCGCTGAACTATGAAGCGCCATTTTAAGACAAGTGATCACATAATCCTCTGTTCTCATGATATCAGCCGGACAAACACATGGAACTATGTCTTGCTTATTGTCTGGCAGTTGTTTCTGGATTTCCGATTTGTTTGACAAAGAACTTAACTAAACACATCAATTTAGTTCTGACCAGTCCCGGTACATTGGTCAACACAAAATCATCGAGGGGCCCAGATATCGCTTCTATTTCTAGAGGGAACAGATAAACTTTGACTCATATGCTTGTTCTACTAGTTGTTGAATTGTACACAAAGGCGCGTTTTATAACATCAAGTTACTGATGCGTTTACGTGCAATCAGTGCACAACCAACTCATAAGTAACAACTCATATCTCTAGCTTTTAGGACTTATATGATATTATCATCTCACGATCACTCGAGATACAAGTGAGCGTGGGTTTAATCCAATACTCATAACTTATGAGTACTCATGAATGTTGCAGCAACCATTGCCATGTCTAAACACCTTTATCCATCTACAAACCCAATTCATGACAATCTTGATTCATACCTACTTCCGACGTATGATCGATTGTGGAGGTTTGAATAAATTAATAATTCTGGAAGTGAAAACATGCAAAACTGAAACAATAGTAAATAATTGACAATGACAGTAACACTGTACTCATAAATAAATCACAAATTTTTTATTCATCATCAAACATCGATTACATTTTACAAGCTTCAGGAAAAACTATCTAATTTGTAAAACTAATATCGTCCCTCAGCCCGATGCACCTCGCATGCTGAAAATGCTTAACCCTCGTCAGTCCCTTCGTAAGGGGATCTGCAGGATTCTCATCCGACGATATCCTCTTTGTCACGAGGAGTCCTTCTTCAATCTTGTGTCTTATGAAGTGATATTTTCTGTCAATGTGTCGGGATCTGCCATGATCTCTCGGTTCCTTGGCTAAAGCAACCGCACTATTGTTGTCACAAAAAATCTTCATAGGCTCCTTAATAGCTGGTACAACTCCAAGGTCTCCGATGAAGTTCTTTAGCCATATCGCCTCGTTTGTTGCTTCACTCGCTGCTATATACTCTGATTCACAAGTCGAATCAGCCATCGTCTCCTGCTTGGAACTCTTCCAAGAGATTGCCCCTCCATTTAAGGTAAAGATCCAGCCTGACTGAGAGCGGAAGTTATCCCTATCAGTCTAAAAACTAGCATCACTATACCCTAATACTCTCAAGTCATCACTCCCATCAAGGTTAAGGATCCAATCCTTAGTCCTCCGCATGTACTTGAGAATGTTCTTTACAGTGGTCCAATGAGCCTTGCCAGGGTTCCCCTGATACCTGCTGACCATGCTCAACGCAAAGGCCACATCAGGGTGGGTACAAGTCATAGCATACATGATCGAGCCAACAGCGGAAGCATATGGTAGTTGGCTCATCTCAGCTATCTCTGCCTCTCTACTCGGACTCTGAGTCTTACTCAGTTTGGCATTGCTTTGGATCGGTAAATCTCCTTTCTTGGAATTCTCCATGTTGAACCTTTTCAACACCTTAT